ATTTCTTTATTATTTTCAGATATTTCTTGCAACAAAGATTAAAATGAAATAAACTTTTAATAAAAGTTTGTTTGTACAGTACTTCTCTTAATTTTATGATGTTGCCTTTCATTTACATGAATCAAGAAATCGTTATGACAGGATTGGTTGAAAATTGCCCAGTTTCCCAGAGAACAAGTAAAAATTTGGGAACAAATTACAATCTAACAGAACTACCAAAATTGGACAGTGAACATATGTCCTTAAGCTTTTGTCTCCTGAAGGTATATTTAAGCTAAAACCCAGAACTATCTGTTTAAAACTTGGAAGCTTAAGGTTCACTGACCCTCTGAAAAGAAAGATAACTCTTATTGGGTTAAATTACATCCATCTCTTTTGAATTGTAAAATTTTCATGTGAAAAGGTCTTTTCTGTCCTATTTTGTCCCACAATTAAAATATGTGCTGATATTGTGTAAATTTGGTTTATTTTGGAAAATTATCACTGTGAAAGCAAATTGAAGTTTTTTATGAGTGAACAATGGAATGATGAATCTTTGGTTTCACTGATACTCTGATAAGAGAGATAACTCTTAATGACTTAAAAGTCTATTATTCCTTTATAAATTTGTCAGGTTAATATGTCTTTACTGTCCAATATTGCCCTGCAAGCTATGCTACAATTGTTTGTATTTTACTTATAAAATGCATTTCTTTGGGAAAATCATAAGAGTTCAAGCAGCATTTTATATGAGTGAGCAGAGGATTTATGAACCTTAAAGTATTTTTATACAGAGAGAGAGAGAAAGGTAAATTCCCTGAATCCTATTTTATACATAATCTGGTGCTGCAGTGACAGGTTGTAATTGACCCTTTAGTGGTAAGGGTCCTGCACCCCTTCTACTACAATTTTCAATGGGAATGTTGAATTTAAAAAGTGGCAAAATATTGATTACTTGTGTTTACTGTAGAATAAATACCATTTAATTGTTGGCTAATCATCTTTTCACATTTTTGAGAACCATTATTATCTTAAGATTAAAAAGTCAATTTTCAAATGGAACTAGGTATTTTCAATGGACCTGCATGCAATGAACTCTAGGCCCTGAATGAACACTCACCATCTTGTTCCTTCTATGGAATATTGGTACAGAGGGTCGATGGCTTGTCCCTATGACCTGCTGGGGGTGTAGTTTGTCCACCATCAGGACCCGGGACAAGTCTATTATATGGACATACTCTGTGTCCACTGGTATTCCTTTGTCTGAAGAGTCACGCACAAAACTCATGTTTCACAGTGGTCAGTAAAAACTCCAATCAAGATATTGATGTTTTACATTAATTTCCTTTTGGGTGGAGGAGGCGAGGAGTTTTCAAAAGTTTAGAGACTTAACTAGTGTTGCTACTGTGGTTTCAAGAAATTATTGCAATATCCAAGGCCTTAATTTCCACATCACATAAAAAGTATAACACTATCTCAAAAATTCTCCTGTTGAATTATAAACAGTTTCATGTACTCCAGAGTCAGTGATATTTCTTAAACTGAACACCACATGAATATATTTCAGTTTTCAAATCTTTGACATGATTCCAGGATTTTCATTGATTAACAACATGCTCGTTATATACTTCTCAAAACTATAACCCAGTTTAATTAAAAATTCGCGAAATGGTACAGACAACCATAAATCCATGTTTTATTATTTTTTTAAACACATTTTTCAGTCTTTAATCTCAGAATTGGAATCACTTATGAATAATTAACTTGATTATTGACTGATCACATTTCACAGTCCCTAGTTGTACTTGTAAAGTTCAAATCTCATTTTTTTCATCAATATTTCAAAAAAAAATAAATTCTAAAAACCAAATTATTCTCCAGGCACAGGCCATTAAAATTCATCACAACATGTTTTTCTATTTATCAAGTTTAAAAGTTCTTATTTTCCTCCTCTAAAACTCCCTTAAGACTACACATGACAATTAAGTTAATCATATAGGTTTCATTTCAGTCCGTTGATTCACACATCATCAATACAAGCGGATACACAATTACAATAGCGGATCACTGATCGCCAGGAAACTAAAAATCAAATATTTGTCCAACATTAAGACACTCATAGCTAGGCCGTGCCCTTCTGAAATTTCAACAAATGTTCAAGATCCATTGTTGGTTTGAGTGGTTTCAGGCTTAGATGTCATTCAGAGTAATTAAACAGAGTTTGTCAAACTGTATTTTTTGGATAATCAATGCAGTTTGAAACTATTTATTGTGCTTTTGACGATTCTTAAATCTCTCTTTCAGATCACATCAATTACTACTGCGTAAATCTCCTTACAATAAAATTTATTGATGTTTTAAAAGTTAAAACTATTTAAAATTTCAATATCTCTTCCTAATCTATTACAGCTTGTCGGTGATACATGACTCTTAATCTATATAAAACACTGAATATAGTTTTCCTGGGTACATTCTTTCAGCAAAAAATAAAAGCTCTTCTAATTTAAGGCATCATAAAATGTTGTTTCTTGTAATCCAACCAACCCAATCCCCCCACCCCCAAGTGTCTCTTTTTTCAAAGTTTTTTTTTTTTTTTGGAAACAAAGTCATTTATTTTTAGCATTATGTGGATTACAGAAGTTATAATAAATTTTCTTAAAACTATAGATTAAGGAGTATGTGTATATTGATTACAGTGTCAGTTGCAGCTTTAGTATTGTCTATTTCACTGGTGCCCACAGATCTGGGAGAGAAGAGGAAATGTAACGCTGACAGGACCAATCTAAGAATGCTTAAAGATAATTAAAGGGTACCTGCTGACCCTGATTTTTTGTAAAACCTGTTACAAGAAACAAACATACAATTTTGTCTGGCCTAAACTAAGCAATGCTTTGTTGCACAATCAACTTCAATAAATCTACAATACATCTTTTTCTTACAGGGATCGACATTAACGGTTGTCCGATTGCCCAGGACAAGTAAAATATCAGTTCGGACAAGTGAAATTGTCGACGCACTTGTCCGATCGGGCAAGTGAATTTTTATCAAACAAATGTACATATTTATTTAGTTTACATTAATTTATAAATAAAACAATAAATTGAACACTTGATTTCCACAAATTAAAGTACCTGACTGACAATGTTTTTGCATTAAGAATTCCTTACTAGCGTTTCTGGATTATACCGTTCATTTAAAAATTTAAAAAATTATTTTATTTCATAGTAAATACGCTCTACATCTAACAAAATTTTGTTAATTTCCTATTAGGAAATTAGATTATTTATTCACGCACAGAATATAAGTACAGTGTAGCTTGATGTATCCTGCTCAAGATAAAATGTATGTTTCGTAGCAACTATCTTCCTTTAGCATTGATTCACTCTGAAAATCACGATTCACAAAAGGAATCCTATCGTAAAATATTATTAAAAAATATGAATTTTATGAAAAGGAAACGGAGGGTTATAACTGCATGGCAGTGTGTGTTAGCAGGTTAAATTTACAAGTACAATGGTATACATTTATGACAAATGCAGCAATAAAATTTTTTCAGGTAGCTCAATTTGCCAAATTGACAGTATTGTATTTGGTCACATTTTTTTTTCATCATAACGTTTACAGTAATAAATAATTTTCTTCTCAAGTTCTTTCCTAATTTTGGGTAACCAAGTTTTGCATTCGGACAAGTCAACATTTAAGATCACTTGCCCAAAGGGCAAGTGAATCTGAAAGTTAATGTCTACCCCTGCCTTACAACAAATGAAATATACAAAATATAAACTGATAATTCCTTTTTGAACAGTCAGGTAAATGCCAGCAGAATCATTTTTGCTTGGTGAATTTAGTTCCTCTTTTTTATTAAACACAGTGCAAACTATTGTTCAATTCATGCAAATACATTTGCAAGTAATATTCAAATATTAGTTTAGAAGTATGTCTTATCATTGGAATGTTGCGTAAACTTCTTAATACTTGTCAGAATTTTGCAGGCATTGCTGGAACTTTTTTTTCAAATTGAAATCTGTTTTCTTTGCATTTTTAGCACAATGAACAGCTGTGATTCAGGCCTCAGTGAGCTATTACCACTAAATATTAAGTTGAATCCCACATGAGTTACGTCTCCTTGTTTCCATATCTTAAATATGAGATGAATCTATAGATTTATATTTCTCCAGACTACTTGAATTATGTCCCCTGGATTTTCATAGATTTACGGAAGTGACATGCCTTAGTTTTCCATAGGTTTACTTGATTTATATTTGCTAGGTCCATTTCATTTCCACAGCAGTTTATGAGGTTTATTTTTATATCCTGATCTTCTGCCTCATAAACATATGTTGCTGGCATTATATCCATGGATTTACCCAAGACATGTTACTCAGAAATCCAATTGGTCTCCCTGACTTATGTCCCCTTATCAGAAATCCTACAGTCTACCCGAGTTTCATCTAGCTGAGTTGTGTCACTTAGATTCCATACCTCTACATGAGTTATGTCCCCTACATTTCCATAGCTCTACATGAGGTATGTCCCCTACATTTCCATAGCTCTTCATGAGTTATGTCCCCTACATTTCCATAGCTCTTCATGAGTTATGTCCCCTACATTTCCATAGCTCTACATGAGTTATGTCCCCTAGATTTCCATAGCTCTACATGAGTTATGTCCCCTAGATTTCAATAGCTCTATGATTTACATCCCCTAGATTTCCATAGCTCTACATCAGTTATGTCCCCTACCTTTGATTTCTTGAATTCCTCCTCAAACGCTGCCTTCATCTCTGCCATAGCTCTACATTAGTTATGTCCCCTATTTTTCCATAGCTCTACATGAGCTATGCCCTACATTTCCATAGCTCTACATGAGTTATGTCCCCTTCATCTCTGCCATAGCTCTACATGAGTTATGTCCCCTACATTTCCATAGCTCTACATGAGTTATGTCCCCTAGATTTCCATAGCTCTACATGAGTTATGTCCCCTTCATTTCCATAGCTCTACATGAGTTATGTCCCCTACCTTTGTTTTCTTGAGTTCCTCCTCAAACGCTGCCTTCATCTCTGCCATTTCTTCTTTATGAGCATTTGTCAGGGCCACCACCTGCTGGTCATGTAATTTCTGCCAGTCTAAAAATAGTAACATAACTCTAAATAAAGTAACAAAACAACCATATATCAGCATAATAACAAGAAACAATAATTAAAACAATTTTTTTTTTAAAAATCATAGAAATTGCCTACTCATTACTATTATTAGTGAGGAATTTACCATAAATGAGTCTGTACAAATAGGACTTCACTATCATTACTACTACAACCACATAAAAACAAAACATTTACCTCTCTGGGCCTCAAAAAGACTGGATTTGTTGGTGTCCACTACCTCCTGGAGTTCTGCTAGTTTCTTCTACAATGTGGATACAATACAGGACTTAATACATGAAGAGACAAATACATGTAGAGATAACAGAATCATAGAATGTGATGTTTCATATTTTACCTTCATTATATTAAGTAATAATAATGATAAATCTTTTTATAATAAAATGATTAATGCTCATTTAATTCCTGAATTTTTCCTTTTTTCACAAGGAAAGCAGTAAATTTAACTATTTTCACCCTGACTGATGGTGAATTACTGCTGATAAAATACTACACAGGAATCTCCCAGAAATTAGAAGTCAAATTTCCATGACCAAACAAATGCACGAACCCCCCCAAAAAATCAAGTCTATACTACAAATCAACACATGTACAGTAAACAAGTACATTATAAATCCCCCTCTCCCCCCTAATCCCCCTCCCTTAACATTCATTCCAACTGAGACAAACATGTAACAAAGATAAATTTAAACAACAAGCAATGAACGAAAAATAACACCACAGGAAACCCAACACCAGCAAAAAGCAGAGAATCCACAAGACCAGGCAAATGTATTTCATGTGAGCACCTGACTACTTTCCAGAATGTTTTAAATCACAGTATGCAATCTTATTCCAAATTTGAAGATTTTTGTTTGTAGTTATGTGCTCCACAGAAAACACTGGCCTGACTGGGTCCTATAGAACAACCAAACAGAATGAAAATTCATGCAAAATGGACTTAATATACAGTGTTAAAAAATAATATATATATTTCTTAAATATGAACAAATAGGGAAAAAAACAATTCTTTGGTGAAAATTGTTAACCTTGAGATAAATACCCAATTCTATACCAATAAAGCAGTACTAGTAATGAAACAATTTTTTTTAACACTGTATAAGATAAACATATATGAAAATCAAATAACAGAACTACATTTATATCAGTATACTACCAATAGAGGTCAAGAGGTCAGAGGCCAACAAGGCAAAAGCAAAGGTCATCTAGCAAAGTTAAAAAAAAGTACATGAAGCTAGTTACTGAATCTATCCTGTGGTCTAGAATATATATAGCAAAAAAGAATGTCTCCATGCTCAAGCTAATTAATGAAAGAATTTATGCGAAGTATTGTTTTTAATGAAGTTCATTCAAATTTCAGGGATTGTCTTGTATGGTAAACAAATATAAGGCAATCTTCACGTTAAAAGCTAAATGGAATTGAAATTTCATTACATTAAAAAAAATCTAGCATCAAAGCAAACAAACTTATACGACCTGCAATAATATATACATTTCAATATAGTCTTAATGCAAATCTTGAAAATTAATTGAAGCATTTCAAATGATATATATTTGACAACTACAAAAATCTGGTAGCTGAATTAAGCCTAAACATTAATATTGTCGCAACACAATTAAATCAAGACATCTGAATTCACAATATAGTTAAGGTAGAATTCCCTATCAGCATGCATTACCTACCTTCAATTCCTCAGGCTTAATAAGAAAAGCAGTCAAATTTTTAATTAAAACCTGATATAATTACACAGTTTGTTACCTTTCACAGGTGTTATGTTCAGAATTCTTAACAAACCTACTCAGAATTTTATTTGTTAATTTAATTAACTTAATAGTAAATGTTCACAGACCGTGTACATAACCTATAAGAAACTTTTAGTATCAATTTAATTTCTTTATACCTATAGATTAAGACATATGTGGAAAAAAAAATCATAATTATACTTTGCAGTTTTTCAGAAAATTTCATTAAGATAATCTGTTTAATAGGCCTGTTGGGCTGGTGTTACTTTCATATTGTTTCATTTAAAAAAAAAACAAACTTTGTTTCAATTTCTTTCAAAGTCAGATTCCTGTTCGTTTGATTAGCTGTTGACAGATAGAGAGCATGTTGGGACAGGTTGGTGGATTTTTATCATGCAGCAAATTGACATACTTGCTTTAAATTCACAAAAAAAAATCTTGAAAAAAAATTGAAGGGACTGTTTGATTCCAAAAACGCATACAGAAAATATTGCTAAGGTGACAATTTGATTTGAATTTGGATAATGTTTGATTTGAATTTGGATAGTGTTTGATTTAAATTTAGATAATGTATTGATAGTTCAGGCTTCTGTAATGAGAAACGGTTTGATTGGCTGGTTTCATAAAACTAGACGGATTTTCACACACAAACCTTTAGATCCATATTTTTCTCCTGGTTGCGTTCCGAGTCCTTTTTAGACAGATAATCTGTTTGACCGACCTCCAGCTCCAACATAGACAATTTACTATTGAGGTCCCTGATCAGTGCATCTTTTGACTTAATGGCCGCCTCGTTCTTTGTTTTAGCATCCTCTAGCTCTTGGATGGTTTTCTTTACGTAAGAATGTTACGTAAATTACGTAAATATGTAAGAATGAAATCAGTTGCATAAAGCAGGAAAAATGTAGAGAGAGAAAAATTGTACTAAAATTTCTACACAAAGCATCAAAAGATATAAGCAGAAAAAAATTAATATCAAATGCTTGAAAACCTCTGCCAGAGCCATGATTAATTTAAATAATTTGTTTCTTGTATTTTCATTAAATGGCAGGATTTTCAGGGTTGAAATATACGGTAGGAGGACACACGGGGCTATAGTCATCTTAAGACTTGGGCTAGCTGATTTAAATGTAACAATAGTACGTCGGACTAGCTGAACAGAAAAAAAATCTCATTAGTTTACTTACGCTTTTCTATGTAGACTGATTTCTTTTGACTAAGAACTAATTTAATTTGTTTCTTTCACCAAAGCATTTGAAACTTTGATTTGTAATGTTTTCATTTTGCATAAAAAATTGTTGGGCTAGTTAGTTTGAGGTTTGGGCTAGTAATTTTTTCTGATCAGTAGCCCCTGGGCTAGGGGGTTTTCCAGGAAAATTTCAATCCCTGATTTTACATGGGTCAAATTATTGTCATGCCTTATCTTCATTATAACCTGTTGCTACATGTACGACTGAATTTGGGTACATGAATTCAAAATATGTAAAAGCTTAAAAATTGTACATGTAGCTAAAAATAGAGATGGCAAAAATTTTCAAGCATATAGATTAAACTATGCTACAAATTAAGAGAAAGTATTAGTGTAATTTAAGTTAGTTTTCTACTCATTTAGAAGAAATTCTGTTTGTTATTAAATAAGCAAGTTTGAAATATTCTGACAAAGAATGCAGTGCAAGTTAATTCCTTCCTAAAATTTGAGCATCTCTTGAACATTTATTTTTACATAAATCTAAGTTTATTAGAACCCCAACTAAACAACTGTCTCATAAAAGACAACTCTTCCTGCATAGAGATACTGAGTTATCATTCCTGATGAGAGAGTGACCTCTCCTTGTTACCTTTGCAGCCTCGGCAGCTGTCCTGAATTTCTGTGTGTCGTTTGTCTTGATTTCTAGTTGTTTTAGCAGCTGTTGTACCTTTTCTTCCTTAACCTCCATTTCTGAGGAAATAAAAACAAAAATTCAAACCAGTGACACAACTTTTCACTTAGCCTGAGTGATTATTTTTGTTTTGGGTCATACTTTAAGCCTTTTTGCCTAAATTTAAACAAAAAAAGAATTACTATAGTTTTTATCCAAAAAAAACCTACAGTAAGATCTGGTAACTCACAGGCATAAGACTATTTCAATGCTAAGGACACAATAAATATAGTGCCTGTTGACTTACTAATGACAAAGATGCAAGATGGCCAAAGGAGAAACCCTCATCTGCCAGAGCTATAGTTTTTCCACTTACCTCCCTGCCATCTTTCAGAGCCACAGTTATTTAACCTACCTCCCTGCCATCTTTCAGAGCCACAGTTATTTCACCTACCTCCCTGTCATCTTTCAGAGTTATAGTTATTCCACTTACCTCCCTGTTCTTTTTTCCAGAGTTATAGCTATTCCATCTACCTCCGTTTTTTTTTTATTCCAGAGCTATAGCTATTCCACCTACCTCCCTGTAATTTGAGTAACTTCTCACTTAGTCCTGACAGATCATCCTTCGCTTTGTCTAGTGCTTTTTCCAGTTTCTTTTTTCCCCTAAATCATGTAAAAATAGCATGTTACTCATCTAAAATTTGTCAGACGAAATCAGCTAAAATAAGCATATTATACCATTTAACCCTCTGAAACTTAATTTTAATGTTTCAAATTCTATATTTTTCAAGTGCCTCCAAAGTACTGTAGACTCCTAAATATATGTGAGGATTTATTATCTCGTAATTTCACAAGAAGCACCGTGGCTGCACAAAATAAAATTACTCACTTTCATTTTTTTTTGTATTTCCGAGATACGTTAAAATTAGAGATCAACAGTCCAATTGTGAATTCATATTCTCGCAATTTGATGTCTATGCGTCATTTTGCGATATTAAGTACCCATGAAAAATAAGGTATCTACAGTACATGTTACTAAATTTAGATTATAGCTTATGATTTATTACTACTTTATCACATTCACTCATGTGAAATACCCCATACTTTGTTTTAACTCACTTCACTAAACTTGAAACATTTTGTTACTTTAAAATGCATCCAAGAAAAATTGTGTTCATGCAACACACTAAAAAACTTCAAGTGACAAAAAATTTGTATAATATGAAAGCAAACTTATTACATAAAACTTGTAGATAAATAACACTAAACAGAGTAATATTGAATAATAATATCTGGTGTACACAGAAAGACAAAACAAAAATAATAATATTTAAAAAAAAAAAAAAAAAAAAAAAACAATATTGTGCTTACTATACAAGCTTCTAATTTTTTTGACATTTCTCTGAATATAGATTATGAATATATTGAAATTAAAACCAAAGATTACTTGGGCTTCTCAAAACACATGTGTACTTAAGTACTAAGCTGAAAAAAATGTGTTCATAATGGCTTCAAATGGTGTTATTATATGCATGCAGTTCATTCAAAATCTACAAATCAAAAACAAAAAAAATATAAAATCAAAATTAATAAAAAATGAAACAACACTGAAATGTGCACTTAAATAGAAAATCTTACTCATCTGCAAGTTTGCTTTTTCTACAAAAACAAAATAACATCAAGACATTTCAGAGATTTCATTCAAGCAGGCTAGAAAATCATTTTAACTTTGTCTTCTTGATCTAACAGGTTGTCTAATGAATTTTCTTGTCAAATTAAACATCAAAAATTCAATCCCAATAAAATTCTTTTTTCCTTCAGTGACATTAAACAATGATCCTTTTTTAATTTTTATAAATCCAGAATATCTACAGTTGGAGTTTACTCTGCCTAAACTGTCAACTGAATTCTACAAATTCAAAATGCAGTGCAGTCGTAAATGATATGGATGCATGAGATGGTACTAAATTTAATTCTTTAATCAATAAAAATAGCACAATTTCATTGAAAATCAAGCTCAATGCCTAGCTGTTGAAGTTCTTTCCATAATGTGATTGCTTCAAGCTAAAGAAAAAAATCTTTTATATAATTATGCAGACCTTAAAGTTTCAAAGAAGATATCTATAAATTAATGTACATCCCTTATCCCAATATGCTGATGTAAAGCTTCAGGGATAACAATATTATGCTACCTAATTGATATACAGTTTAAGTGTCCAATAAATTGAATATATCATTTATTTTATATTTTTCCTTTATAAAAATATAGGGGAAGGTTCTTATATATTGGAATAGTAGATTGGAGAATACACTTGGGGGAAGTTTTACATGAATGATACACAATATAGCCATATACATACATATTTCATTCTAGGATAAAGTATGTGAGCATATATTTAAAATGCTATAGCTTAGCATCTGTACCTATTGAAAGAACACTACCTCAGAATAATTTTTAAAAAATTACCTAAATTTCTAACACTATTAGAAATTATAATTACTAATTTAAATTTAGTAAATAATAAAAACATTCTACCAATTTTTATTAAAAGTAGTTAATTTCTACTTATTATATCAAAAAAAGAAATCAAAGTAGTAAATGAACGCTATATCAACAAACCATGCAGTGGTTGTGAAATCTCTACTTATTATTATTATCATCTAAGTTCACTACATTACCTGTAACTTAATTAACTAACTAGTTAATTTCTGTAGAAACCAAATTTCACTACTGTGAGTTTACGCACACTCTAACATTACAACTTACAGTCTTAATTATATTCCTTTTTTCTTCTATGTATAGAAAACTACTGACAGCTAATGTATATAATTATAAACAGCATTAAATATTCCCTCTCCTTAAAACTCTTCAATTTACGTTCTAATTTGTAACTCTGTCTTGCCTCTCTACTTGTCAACCATTCACCAGTTCACAAGATAAACATAAAATAGAGGAATCATGAGAAATATTATACAGAATCCTTATTATTCTTTGGATTAATTTTCCTTCTTTTTTCTGTTTTACTTTAATTTTCTTGTATTTTTTCCCTCCAATAATTCTTTTAAAACTTCATCACAATGGTCATGGAGGAGACAATTTGTTCCTCAAGACTCCCACCCCCCTTCTCCCATTTTCCAGGCCTGGGATTATAATAGAATTTTTTTTTTTGTTAATTTGATTTTTTTAGTTGAATTTTGTCTGCCATGATTCCTCCCTTTCTATTTTTAGTAGCACCATCCCTTACATCAATGTCTACTTACTCTTTCAATCTACAAAGTAAAAAACACCTTTACTGATTAGTAAACTATCACTCAGGGAGTGAACATATCCAATCATAGTGCTTGTTAGAGAATGAGATGGGAAATTCAACAAATCAAAGTCTTGGTTACAAAAATGATGGCATACCTAATCCAATCAAAATGCTGCTTTTTGGGAAAGGGGAAATTTTTTAAAAAGATAAAGACATGTGAATATTTATTAAATACATGAATTCCAACTCAAGCATTTTAAAATTAGAATCTGCTCAATTATGTCTCAAATGTTTCATGTGCAGTATTTAGCAACTATAAACCCTTTGTCCAGTGAGCTCTCATAGAATGAAGAATTTTAAGTACAAGGTCCAAATTGCATAGAATTGTGCAAGTTTTGAAGCACTCATTTTCATTTACTGTCAGAACGAGAGGAAAGAGAAATGATTATGTATGGGAGATAACCCATACAGGTTACACTCTGTGATAGAGTAAAACACTCAAAGGGACACACAGACTCAGGTACCAGACTTACATGTTCTCTAGATTGGATATAGTTCTTAAAAAGTACAAACATTAGGTAATTAATATTTAGGTAATTATTAACTCCTACCTATAAAAATTTCAACAAAAAAAAACAAATAATGAATAAAAAATTGCTAAGTATTTTGTATGCTGAATTTATGTCAATAAATTATAACTCTAGTAATAAATGTCAAAATGGGTATCTCTAATTTCTAAAAGGAAATTGGTTTGGAAGAATCTAACACTAACAAACTTAATTGTATTAATTTTTTACATGCATTAGACACCATTTACCCAAATCTCTAAAAATTCAAAACAGGGATATCTAATCCTAACACATACATCAAATCCTCTCTACTTCCAGTATTCATTCTATTTGTCCATTACACATTACAATTTTTCAGACTCAGGAGCAGATAACTCTGGCCTTACTTTGAGGAGGCTTTGTTGATGGCATAGTTAGTAAGCCAGTCCACCATCTGTGAGTTGAGTTCACCGAGTCTGTCTGCGAGTCGGTCAGCCGAGTCCAGTGTTTCCTCAATGGACTGGCCAATCTCCTCGATGTTGATATCTGGGGAGGGGGAGAACAGGGGTTCTTCCTCCTGGGGTGCTGTGGCATCCATGAAGAACTGAAAAAATGTCAAGGTCATCACCATGGAAATGAAATGTTCATAAGGATTACTTTTTATATTAGAATTTCTTTGTTGTGGACATGTTAGGCAATGTCTTTTAAATCTGTTTGCTCTTTCAAACCTTTTTCTCTGGAAAACTGTGAATGCAAAAATCATTGACTTGTCATTTGAGTTGCATTCTCTGATTTAACATACATATAATCAATTTACTGTCCGGGTCACAGTCTCTGATTGGACAAACATTAACTTGCTATATGAGTCACACTTGCTGACTTGACATACCTCATTGACTTGCTGTATGAGTTATAGTCTCTAAACATACCCCATTGACTTGCTGTATGAGTTATAGTCTCTAAACATACCCCATTGACTAGCTATATGAGTTATAGTCTCTAAACATACCCCATTGACTAGCTATATGAGTTATAGTCTCTAAACATACCCCATTGACTAGCTATATGAGTTATAATCTCTGTACATACCTCATTGACTTGCTGTATGAGTTATAGTCTCTAATTGAACATACCTCACTGACTTGCTGTATGAGTTAATGAGTTATAGTCTCTAACTGAACATACCTCACTGACTTGCTGTATGAGTTAATGAGTTATAGTCTCTAACTGAACATACCTCACTGACTTGCTGTATGAGTTAATGAGTTATAGTCTCTAACTGAACATACCTCACTGACTTGCTGTATGAGTTAATGAGTTATAGTCTCTAACTGAACATACCTCACTGACTTGCTGTATGAGTTAATGAGTTATAGTCTCCGACTGAACATACCTCACTGACTTGCTGTATGAGTTAATGAGTTATAGTCTCCGACTGAACATACCTCATTGACTTACTGTATGAGTATAGTCTCTGAATATACCTCATTGACCTGCTGTATAAGTCGCAGTCTCTGATTGGACATATTCTCAAATCCCACGATGAAAACTGTCACCCTTTGTTCATACTGAATAAAACAAAATAACTCCTTACTTGACTGGTACAAAATTAAAACGCTGTTTTGTATCATTGTAAAACTATTTCCTTGAAATACAATGACATAGGAATACATAATTCTAGTTGCCACAGTACCAAAACAAATTCGCTACATTTGAAGGATTCAGATGCAAGGATTTTGAACCAAAGAAATTAGCACTATAGGTTATGTTTCTTCCATTTAGAATTCAGTTTTAACAGGCCCCTCAACTAATATGATACTTTAAGTTCTCACCTTTTTCTTTTTAAGTTGATCAGTCAAAATCTCCTCCAATTCTTTCTGTAAAAAAAAAAGCACATGTAAAAATAATGAATTTTTCTTAATGTAACAAACAGAACTCTAGCTGGTCATTATTATCTGAAGCTAATCTGAGATACATGTTCAAAGAGCATATATATATTTTTTTGTCACACACAGAAAAATATGGCATGTACAGTACAGGACAAAAATAAAGCTTACTATATCTTCTATGTACTACACATTAGCCCTGTGTGTCAAAAACATGTACAGTACAGGACAAAAATAAAGCTTACTATATCTTCTATGTACAACACATTAGCCCCGTGTGTCAAAAACATGTACAGTACAGGACAAAAATAGAGCTTACTATATCTTCTATGTGTTCCACATTAGCCCCGTATGTCAAAAACATGTATAGTACAGGACAAAAATAAAGCTTTCTATAATCTATGTATTCTACATTAGCCCCGTGTGTCAAAAACATGTACAGTACAGGACAAAAATAAAGCTTACTATATCTTCTATGTATTCCACATTTGCCCCGTGTGTCAGAAACATGTCCTGGGTGCTCTGTTCATAGGATTCATAGATCTGTGTGAAATAAATAAAATGTTTTATATATGTGAGGAAAATAAATTCTTACTGGTTTCACTGAAAATAAATTTGCTAATTACTTTCCATTATTCATATTCAGCAATTTGGATCAATTATTTTCACTATTCTCATGGGTACAGTTGATATTTAACAACTTTACAAAGGCTATATGTTGTTGGCCTTATATACTTTGACACTTACATCCTCAACCCTGTGCATGACCTTCTCCAGCTCATCTTTGGTCTCGTCAGCGATGCGCTGGGCCAGGGATCGTTTGTTTTTGTCAATGATGGCACGGGCAGGAGCATCTCCACGATCCAAGATGGAGATACTTCCCACGTAATTCATCGACATGTTGAAAGACTGTCCGATTCACACTAAAACACAATCACTGATTCAAATAATGTGGAGAGTGTCATTTAAAAAAAAAATCAACAATAAAATAATATGTAAATTGAAAGCATCAAAATATTGTTTGTGTCTCATGATCAGCATTATAAATTGAGCTCTCATACATGATGTATATTAAGTAAACTGCAATAATAAAACATAGGTAATCAGAGATTACAGAGCTCACCTCAACGAATGTTGTCTTTAAGTAAGGCAAAGTCCCACACTAAACTAATAATCTATATGAGTGAAAAATATTGTTGTCTTTAAGTAAGGCAAAGTCCCACACTAAACTAAAAATCTAGGAGTGTGCATCCCTAGATGCAACATTTATGCAATTTTGGTCTGATAGGGCTTGCAGTTACTTGGGAATATACTTATCTGAAAACTTAAAACTAGTCACTCATCTAGAAAATGTAAGCCAAATCCAGCATCCAAAGCAAGTTTGAGATTGTTCGCCCCTTGATGCATCATCCATGCAAGTTTGGTTCAGATAGGCCTCATAGTTACTTGGAAATGAGATCTGCTCCAAAAACTTTAACCTGGTTACTCATCCGGAAAATGTAGGTCAGATACAGCATCCGAAGCAAGTCCAGTAGTGTGCATCCTTAGATGTATCATCCATGCAAGTTTAGTCAATATAGGGCTTATAGTTACTTGGAATTGACATCTGCTCCAAAAACTTTAACCTGGTTACTCATCCAGAAAATGTAGGTCAGATCCAGCATCCGAAGCAAGTCCAGTAGTGTGAATCCTTAGATGTATCATCCATGCAAGTTTGGTCAATATAGGTTTTATAGTTACTTGGAAATGACATCTGCTCCAAAAACTTAAACCTGGTCACTCATCTGGAAAATATAGGTCAGATCCAGCACCCGAAGCAAGTCCAGTAGTGTGCATCCTTAGATGTATCATCCATGCAAGTTTAGTCAATATAGGGCTTATAGTCACTTGGAAATGACATCTGCTCCAAAAACTTTAACCTGGTTACTCATCCAGAAAATGTAGGTCAGATCCAGCATCCGAAGCAAGTCCAGTAGTGTGAATCCTTAGATGTATTATCCATGCAAGTTTGGTTCAGATAGGCCTTATAGTTACTTGGAAATGACATCTGATCCAAAAACTTAAACCTGGTCACTCATCTGGAAAATGTAGGTCAGATCCAGCACCCGAAGCAAGTCCAGTAGTGTGCATCCTTAGATGTATCATCCATGCAAGTATGGTCAATATAGGGCTTATAGTTACTTGGAAATGAGATCTGGTCCAAAAACTTAACCTAGTCACTCATCCGGAAAAATTTAAATGTAGGTCAAATCCAGCACCCGAAGCAAGTTCAGTAGTGTGCATCCTTAGATGTATCATCCATGCAAGTTTGGTCAATATAGGGCTTATAGTTACTTGGAAATGAGACCTGCTCCAAAAACTTTAACCTGCTCCCAAAACTTTAACCTGCTTCAAAAACATTAACCTGGTCATTCTTTAGCTGAAATTGCAGCATCTGAAACCTTGACTGGTACAATGAAACACACTAGAAGCATCCTCCATGCATCTCTAACTAATATAGGCCATAGAAGTACTTGAAAAGAAAACTGCTCCAAAAACCTTAACCTGGGACGCCGACGCCGAGAGTATTACATAAGCTCCCCCAACTTTGTTGAGGTGAGCTAAAAAAAACTGTTGATACATTTTTTTAAACAAAAGGTTTTGAATTTTGAATCAGCAGTCCCTATGTTAATCATACAGTCATTTGACCAGTTTCGAGCTTTGACCAGTTCCTAAGAATTAATAATATAAGAGCTGATAATTAATAAATTCAAATGTGTAAACATAAATTCACAGATATGGTATGAAGGCTTATCTATGAGTGTTAGAATTATGTGAAGTTTTGATTTTTTGCCGTCAGTTTGTGTCCGCAATCGTACTTGAAACAGGCAACATACTTTACAATGCAACAAATCTGAATCACCGTGACGGGTTTGTCTGTCGAAAAATGTCTGTAAAGACGTCAATTTTTCACATAAAACAACATTTCAACTATCAAAAGTAAGTTTCATACATATTTTAAACAAATACCAAAAGCTTGCCAAAAATAAATAATTAGACCACCGGAAGATATCAGAATATTTTCGTGTTCTCATTTTACTAGAACTTTCCGAATACCCATTATAAACACTACATAATACGTTAGTTTTCTGTCATTTCTTCATTGTAAACATGACTGTTATTTCTCTTTATCCTTTGGAAATACCACTTACTTACCGGTAAGCATTTATTTTAACTTTTCCTAGGCATGTCAGTTTATAATGTGTGGGACGGATATTTTTTATATAGGTTCGAATTGCATGGGAACCACTAAGGTATTCGGAACTCGTCGGCTTATTCTTAACTAGTAAAATAAGTACCCATGTTAACTTGCTAAAATAAAAAGTTTTTTTGAAAGGTTGAACTTTTATGAAACAACATTTAATTCCGCAAGTCATTGAACTACTTTGACAAACAAATTAGATTTTGAAATAATGCTGTCATATATTTATAGCACTGCCTAATCGGTTCCCTATTCGCAACTGGTCAAACGACTGTATTAATACAGTGAGTGTCAACTTCAACAATTTGGAAACATAATATGGACAATTCTTTTTTCTTTCAATAACCCCCTTCCCCTCCCAGCATCGTGATCATGATGTGTTCAAAATACTGATCAAAGTTCATTTGAATCATTGAGAGATTTTGACATCTTTAGTCTTGCTGAGATTAATACTCCTCTTTTTGAATTTGTGACACAATTTAAAAGCAGCCAATTATGAGTGAACTGAGCTTTTTCAAATTATATTCTAGAGCATCTACAGTCAAAACAGATCATGCAGTTGAATTTTTTGATCTCAACTGACTGCATGTTGATGACTATATTGCATAATTTTGTGCATATACAACAGTTGAACTTTGGTATCTCAAACACTGATATCTCAAATACCATGGAAATGTCAAAGTGATTTGGAAGTATTCTTAAGTATTCTTAGGTATTTTACCCTGAATATCTCGAATACTCGGATATCTCTAAGTTTTTTTTTTTTGGTCTCATCAAGCTCAAGATAAAGGTTTGACTGTACTATATATATGCAAGACATTCTGAATTATTTTTCTTTCATGTAACTATTGTGCAACATGAACAATCAATTAATTAGCCTGTCAGATGGTTAACTATACAAAATATTGGTCTGGGAGGGGGAATAGCTACGAGTCACTCTTTCAAAATTTTCACTGATTTGAAAGTTAAATAATATACATTTTCAGCAGATTTCAACAAATATCTCCCCTGGCCTGCATTCTATCGGCCTGTTCATTATCACTAATAATATCATACATCCCTCCCCTCTTATATTATGCGCGGATTTTAAATGGCCCTCCCATAACTAGCAGTCAAAGCAATACATCAAACTATATTGATGTTCAAATTGATATGAATTCGGATCTGTGCAAACATTAATTAATCCATAACGCATACAATAACACCCCCGTTATTCTGTTATAGTTTGTGTACACACAAGTCGAGCAAACCTATAATCTGATAATGCAGCCGATTTTAAACGATCATTGACTGTGTTCATTTGTTCTGGCCTGCGCCTCGTTAAACATTGTGTAAACACTCACAATTAAAACAAAAACCTGTCGCCATTATCTTCCTTCGATCGAGTAAACACATTCATTCGCCATATAATTGATATTTTCGTCAATACACAAGGCCGCCATATTGGCCATGGATTAAACACGTGGTATTGTCGTCACTTGGCTACAACCAAACTTTATGACAGGTGCGCGCGGAATTTTAAATTCAAAATTGATTTAAACTAGATTAAATAATACCAGCATAAAGACCCGTCTGTATGTTTTACATGGTCGTAAATAGGATCCTATTGCAACCCTAGGTAAAGCCCTGCGTCGACCGGATTGTGTTTGTGTGTGTGGTGGTGGTGGAGGGGGGGGGGGGGGGGAGGGGGTGCCTAAGATATTACATTATTTAGTTAGTGCTATATCTCACAGGCCCTTGTTTCTTTGTATTAATTTTTTTAACCATAGCATTTTTTTTACTGTGGGTTAAAAAGTGCCTGTGCTACATCTTACAGGCATATACGCCATCGACCCCTTCTCCTATTACTATTTTTTTAAAATAGATCTAGAATTGACACTTTTTTTGAAGGATCTTCTAACTTTTCGGTAATTTTAATGCAATTAATCTAATTTTTTTTTTTTTTTTTTGCATCAATGGTATTAACTACACACGTATACATGTATGTGGAAATTTGTGTTTTAAAACCACCCCATGGAGCACATAAAATATGTTCGCAACAAATTAATTTATATATCTATTTTTCTTTTTTTTTTTTTATAATTGTATTGTCTCCTAAATACTTAAGGTCAGATTCATATCTTTTTTACTCTACACCCCAAACCCAATCTGAATAAAATCAGATCTTCATTATTCTCTGAAATTCTGATAGTCGCTGTACAAAAATTTCGATCGATGCCCAGAGCGTAACAAAGATCTGATTTTAAATCAGATTGCCCCAATCCCTTGCCTTTGTGATACAGGCGCGGATCCAGGGATTTTTTCAGGAGGGGGGGGGTCCACCCAGTCACAAAAAATTTACAACCCCAAATATCCATGAAAACCCATTTCCAAAACCTGAAAAACAACTATTTCGTGGTGGTGATGTTGGGGTCCACGTTTTTAGACTTGTCCAAAGTCAATTTTTATTTGCTTCAGTATATACATTTAATACCTGTGCAACCCCCCCCCCCCCCCCCTAGATCCGCGCATGTTATATATATCTATAGCAGTGAAAAATTCACCGCTTCAGAAAGAAAACTTTATTTTGGACTTTACCTTTCATTTTCTTATTTTTGTCATATTTATTTCTCACGATATGTTGAACGATTTTAATTGTTAAATTTTAATTACGAGTAAGTCTTTTCGGATTCTTGATCTGATATATTACAAAGAGACAGAGTGCTATATTTCAAGAACTGTTAAAATATCTTTTAACAACATTGTGTAATTATCTGTTTTTCATATCTAAACATGAAAGAGTCATTTAGTATATCTAATTACTCGATATCTGTAAATTTTACTCATTTTACTTAATGTCAACATGTACCTGTCACTGATTTATCTACTCATTATCAATATCTACATTCTCATAAATAGTCATGTATATTTTCAATCTTTAGTCTTGAATATACGAAGGCCAGTCTCGGTCACGTCCGACTCGCCAAGACTCTGAGTGCTGAGGCCACCCTCGGCCAATCCGACTCGATCACGTTTTATATGTCTGTTTGTTGATTCATGTAAACTGTTGCCGTTGAGACTAATCTAATAAATACGGAATCCTTCATCAATTGTTAAATCTCTGGAATTGCATATTGGTGGATCTTCGGCAATACGACACACCTATACTTTGTTTTAACCTCACGGCCACACAGCACCTCTACCTATACCTCGTACCCTCTACGCCAACGATCACCCCGTTCGTTCTGCAAACAACGTTAAAGACGAAGTTTTAGTGCCGTCCAAATCTTCACGGTCACATATCATTCGAAGACTTCTTTTTATTTCAAACACGTCTTCACCCCTCCATCACCTAGGGCTATGCTGTATTATCTTTCATACTTTTTTATTATATGAAGCATATCAAGGCCGTAACTACCATTGAGGCAAGTGCCTCACTAAAATTGTAGAGTTTTTTAAAAAGTGAGAAAGTTTTACTTTGAACTTTAATTAATTATGTGTGTCATTGAACTAAACTAATACTTTCAACTTTGTTTCAATTTCTGTAAATCGATCATCTCACCAGGTGCTTCATTATTGTTTAGAACGCATGTTAAAAATAATTCAAAAAGTGAAAATTTTCAAAGATTAAGTCTTTATATAATTTACTAAACCCAGGTTTCGGGAGCTTCCCCCTCTCCCTGAGAATCCCCATTTGGACACCACCCTGGACCCGCTTGGGACTCGGGTGACCCCCAATTCCTTTTCCTCATTAAAATATTTAGCTTACTTACGGCCTTGTCAATTCAAAATGCATGCCATGTATTTGGAACAAAAATGAAATGAATGATCATGTTGATTCCTAAAAAGAGTTTAGCAGTAAAATATATGTTACTACATATACTTTATATTTTATTTTTCTTCTCCTAATGTTCCAGGGGGAAACATTAAGTACACGACTGGTTTTTGACAAACTTCCTGATTTTCCACCAAAATTTCCAAGGAAACGAAAAGGTATTATACTTGGTCAACTGTTCCCTCGATTTATCACTGGAACAAATTTTTAGCAATTCTCTCTCTCTCTCTCTCTCTCTCTCTCTCTCTCTCTCTCTCTCTCTGAGATATTATTATTTCAAAAGAATCCGATCTTATTTCATCAATTAACAATATTTATTTTCGTCCAATTCTAGGTAGTACGTCTTGTATTTAAACTTTTTGTTAAACAACAAATTAATTATGTATAGACTATAATACATCTGATTAAACATTACAAAAAAGAAGGATATTAATATCAATGCAATGATTAATCAATTAATATTCACAATATTGATTTTTTTTTCTTAGCTTTAACCTTTCTTTCAAAAAAGAATTGTAATGGACCTTCTCAATACTTCACTTAGTAAAGATATGGCAGTAAAACCTACAACTGCTAGAATTGTCATGTTCTAAATTTAAATTGACGGGGTTGGAGTAAATACAAAATTTAGAACATGACAGATTCAATTTTAACGGTAACAGCTAGAAGTAAGTTTCTAGGACGATGTCTAATAGCTACATGTTAAATATACTAGAATGGCTTCAGGGACACACCTCTATAGAATCAGACACAGGTCGGTGATGTGCTACAATATAAGTAACCACACTGTCGATCTCTATCGGACCCAGATCCATGCGTGATTATAGAACACCTTACCAGAGGGCTTTGGACAAGCAGCATTAAAACGGAGGCTGCATGGGGAATGTGATGGGAAAATAAGGTAGACATATGTGCAAGTATTTTAAACCTTTTATTGAGTTAAGCAACTTGGAAGCTTACCAAGACATCTAGGAAAAGAGGATTGACATCTTTCAGACCAAGTGCCTGAGAAGGATTCTCAAGGTCAGATGGCAGCAGCATATCCCAAACAAGACAGTTCTGGAGATGACAGGAGCAGAAAACATCAGGGACGAGGTGAGGAGGAGATGGAATTGGATTGGCCATGTGCTGAGGAAGGACCCAACAGATGACTTTGTTGTGGCCCTCGGATGACCGCCCGAGGAGAGAGGAAGCGAGGCTGCCACAAGACAACATGGCGGCGGATGGTGGAGGTGAAACGAATTGATGCTGGAAGTCATGGAACACGGCACGCCGTGCAGCTTCGGACCGGCCCCAGTGGAAGAGGGATGTCCAGGCCTTGTGTGCCTTCTGGCACAGAGAGAATTAAGATTAAGATAAGACAAGAAGCAACTTGTTTTACCTTGAGGGAGTTCAGCTCTATAATAGAAATAGAAAACGCTGAGATGTTAACATTGTGTTGCAAATCCTATCAAAGCAATATTACTTCGATATACTTACTTCAATTTCTTACAAAAAATTCCATTGATGGATTAAAATTAATTTTTTTTTATTAAATAATGTATCTATATAAGATATCAGATACAAGAGTTACACATATGATCTTAGTCACGGACTCGCAGTGTGATTTAAAATCATTTATATAGACCCTGTTTAACCTCCTCTCCCAACCTAACCCATGCCCTCCCCAGTGTTTAATGCTTTAATATATATTATTTTAAAGATACATTTTTTTCTCATGGAATACATTGTAAACAATATAATATTTCTGAAAATAATTTTTTTTAAATTGAATTTAAAAAAACAGTCCGGTGCTCCACATTTTGGGGGTACCCTTTTTGTATTGATAAAAGAATTTAAAAGAATTCATATAAGCTTTGACGAATCATACAACATTTTAAAAAAAGTAATATCTATATCTTTTCATGATCGGGATCGCTATCTTATCTCGTACTTCATAATCGAGATCAATATCCCTTAGTGGGAGGGGCTGAAGGAGGAAGTGTCATAAGACTTCATGTATAATCATGGCTTCCTCGAATCCTCCCAATTTGGACAAAAGCGCGTGTGCATTGTGCTCCGGAAAGTACAAGTCTCCAAGATGTCTACCCTGTTCACATTCGTTTTGTCAAGATTGTTTATCGTCACACATCATAGACTGTTGTAAATCTAAGGATTTCCCTGTGGGTTTTAACTGCCCAGTGTGTCAGGTATGCATTCCCAGTAACGGTGAATTTGAAACTCCGGAAAGATGGGCGTATCTTTTTCCTGTTAATACCATTTTAATGAAATTGGTTGCTTTCCCTGAACAGAAACATTGCGCTGCCTGTAAGAGAGATAATGAAGAAGTAGAGGCGATTGATTTCTGTTTGGCATGTAATGAAGAACTCTGTAAAACATGTTCAAAGTGTCACAGAAAAGGACTGACAACCCGGGACCATAAGATGTGTTCGATGAACGAACTCCAATTTCAGAACAGTTCACATCTTTCAGAATCAAATACATGTTCACAACATATTGACAGACCAGTGGAATTCTACTGTGACAATCATGGAATTTTTTGTTGTGGGTTGTGTGGAGCAATTGAACATAAGAAGTGTGAAAATGTTTGCAGTATAGAAGAGGCGCTAGAGGGTTTGAGAAAGGACAAGAAAAAGTTAATTGATACTTTGCAAAATAATATAGAAACACATGAGCAACAGCTTATGTCATTCAAACAAAAAGAGGAGGCAAAAATTACACAACTAGAAAATATTTCAGAGTCAGTGTCAACAAGTTTCAAACAATTTCGAATGAAAGTGGAAGCGGAATTAAATAAAATTGAAGAACTTGGTTATAGTTCATTAGAAAAAATCATTACATGGAAAAAGTTGGAATCGCAGAAATATATAACTTCACTTTCCGAGAAAATAAATTGCGAGAAAAATGTAAGTACTCTTCTGAAAGAAATGAAAAGGGAAGAAATCTACAAAGACATGTTAATAAAGTGGAAGCAAGCTAGCAAGATGTATGAGTATATAAAGAAAACAATCGCACCGGAAACGGATCTTATAGTCGAAACAGAACACTCTCAGAAACTTACTGAAATACTTGATTCGTTAAGACATTTGTCTTATCCTAGTGAGTGTGCTATCAATGCATGTTTTTGGGAAATCAGAGGAAAAGACAAATTAGGTCTCGCAATTTTGAACGTAGATTATCCAAAAATAGACAGAGAAGGAAAGGACCTGCTTAACGATGGAACGTTTTTGCCAAACGGTAATATTGTAATGACAGGATATTGTGTTCCAGAGTGCTATCTTTTCAGCAACGACTTCAAGTTCTTGAAGAAAATTGACATTGATTACCGTCCTTGTGATATACATTTGAAAGGAGAAGAGTTATTTGTCAGCTGTCCTAATGATAAATCTATACAAGTATTGTCACTAGAGGATTTCAAAATACTAAGAACTATTGAAATTGGCGAGTGTTGCTACGGTTTAGCGAGTTTTAGAGACAATCTGTATGCTGCATGTTACTCTTCCATCATTGAATTCGATGATCAAGGAAATATATTGCGCACGTTTTGGACAGAAAGTTACGTTTGTAATTTGATTGTGAATTACGATGGCGATATCATTTACAGCAGTAGTACCGACTCCCATTGTGTAAAATCACTGTCCCAAGAAGGTAATGTCCTTTGGACCTACAGAAGTACAAATTTAAAAGCTCCTTATGGGCTTGACATAGATTCCGCAGGAAATATATACGTTGTTGGTAAATTTAGTCAAAATATTCACATTCTCAGTAAAGACTTTTCATCGATAACTGTTATAGAAAACATATTCTCTCCATTCTACATAAAGATAAACGAAAGCAAACAAAGATGTTTTGTGATTGCATACACCGGAGCTTTGAGTGAATATGACATGAGATCATCACTAAAAGGTAGATCAAAGGAAAACGCATAAAGCCCAGTCCTTTCTGTTGATTTTTAATAAAAAAAATTGTTGTGACTCTACTATTACTTGTATAATGAAAAAAGAAATGATGTTTTGAAAAGAAGGGAAAATTATTAATTAAATTTATGTCCAGTGTGGAAAAAATAAATAATGAATAAATTTACTTACCTTGTCATTGGTCATTTGCAAACTTTTTTTTGTTAAAAACATTCTGATTGTACACACAAGTACTCTGAAGTTGATATTGATTAAAAAGATGATTGAGTTTCTGAATGACAATATCTATGTGGTTTTTGGAGACCAGGTCTTCCCAAAATCTGTTTGAATTCCCATGGACACCAATTTCGCCCCCTTATTAGCAGACCTATTTTTGTATTCAATATGAAGCAGAATTTATTCAAAATCTTATGCATGAGAAAAAGAAAACTCTTGCTTTGGCCTTCAACTCGATATTTAGATATATCGACGACGTATTATCAATTAATGATAGTTATTTCCTTTCATATATCGACACGATACCGGTATATTCCAGTGAGCTTGAAATAAAATATACCACAGAGTCTGACACATCTGTTTTATATTTGGATATTCTACTACAAAAAAGACTTTATAATCTAACAACAAAGCCTTATGATATACGTGATGACTTTAACATTTCAATCGTCAGCTTCCCTTACACAGGGAAAAGTGGCTCGCATGAATTTCATATGAAAATCGCATGAATATCATGCGAATTCTTCGCATGAGAAGGAGTGAAAAGGACCACGCATGATATTCGCACGAAAATATCATGCAATTTTCACATGAAATTCACACGAATATCATGCGAAAAGAAAATCGCACGAAATTCATGTGAAAAAAAGAACCCAGGTTTCATATGAATATCATGCGAAGACAAGCATATTTTTTGTACCCCAGATATTAATATCAAGCTATTATCTATGAGTGCACCAAACTTAATCCATTAATTCTATCCTTCTTCCTATGAAACAGAATTTTTGCTTCTTGCAAATGAAGTTTTCTTGAAAAATTCCCTTTTTCTTACTTAGTCAGTTAATCCAGACACAAGTAATGCATGATTATACAAAAAGTAACTTTGAATTTGAAAGAATCAAAACTTGTTTTCTGAACTCCCTGACTAAATAAAGACATTTGTGACATCAATTTCTACATTGAAAACTAAAACAATTGATCTTTTTCTATCTTCTTTATTGAGGTTCTCATCACATAAGATTTCTTTATCTTGAGGATCCTGTTGAGAGGGTGTTGTCATTATAGCTGAAAATACAAAAGTAAACAATCTCAGGTTATTGAAATTCATAATGAACAATATTTTTTTTTTAAATTAACTATGACTACCCTAGGCCCTTAAGTAGGATTAATACCTCTTGGTCATAATCACCTGTATGCCAAGTATGTTCTCCAGATACTACTCCAATAAAAAGTTGCATTTTCTGAGATACTTCTATCAACTCTATGACCTTGACCTTGTCTTATGATCACTGTTCTGGAAATGGCATATCTTATGATCATTATCAACCATTAGGGCAGTATGATTTTTGGGAGTTACTTTTTTCAATATACAATTATGTTATGGCCAAGAATTTAAACTTCAATTCCTGTTACCTCTACATTGCTTAAATGACCAACAGGCAGGGTTGTTTCACTGCCTCTAGTCAGAATTAAGCAACCTTAAAAACATATCTAGTTCAAATTACCCTATGTTATTCTTGGGATATACCTTTGAGTCACAGGCGAGTTTTGTCTCAGGTATGTCTACTGTGTTTCCATTATAGAGTTGTGAATGAAAATAATTTAATACATTTGTACCCTTTTGACCTTGAACATATCTAAAATGCCCTTGGTACTGGGTCAAGACTCATTTCTGGACACAAGCTACCTTTCTATCAGTTATGAGCCTAAGATTGTTTTCTTGGTTACAAAGTCATGTTCAAATAAGAATTTAATTCTCTTATTCCTCTATTTAAAAGTTTGACAAATCAGTCTGTAAATTCCTGTTACCAGTTAGTTCATATATAATTACAAAGTGTAGGGAAGAAACAAGATGTGTTTGAGAAACACCGATGCCCCCGTATGGCACTTATGGCGAAGGTTAAACTTACTCAAATGCAAGTCAAACTGCAAAGTCGAAAGATCAAAAATGCCCAAGCACCAACCATTCAAAAGTTATGGTCAAGGTTAATGTTTTCTGAAAGTGGGCCAAACTCCAAGGTCAAGGTCAAAGGGTCAAAATTAATGGTATTCAGGGGGAAGACCTTGTCGTAAGAAATATACATGCAGAATATAAAAGCCCTGGCACCAACAGTTCAAAAGTTATGGTCAAGGTTAAAGTTTTTCAAAAGTAGGTCAAACTCAAAGGGCAAGGTCAAAATTGTTGATATCCAAAGGAAGGTCTTGTCACAAGGAATACACCTGTGAAATTTGAAAGCCCTAATACTAACTATTCAAAAGTTATGGCCAAGGTTAAAGTTTTTTAAAAGTGGGTCAAAAGTTATGACCAAGGTTAAAGTTTTTTAAAAGTGGGTCAAACTCTAAGGTCAAGGTCAAAAAGTCAAAAATATTTACACCCAAGGAAAGGTCTTGTCAGGATAAATACACATGTGAAATCTGAAAGCCCTAGCACCAACTGTTCAAAAGTTATGGTCAAGGTTAAAGTTTTTCAAAAGTAGGTCAAACTCAAAGGGCAAGGTCAAAATTGTTGATATCCAAAGGAAGGTCTTGTCACAAGGAATACACCTGTGAAATTTGAAAGCCCTAATACTAACTATTCAAAAGTTATGGCCAAGGTTAAAGTTTTTTAAAAGTGGGTCAAAAGTTATGACCAAGGTTAAAGTTTTTTAAAAGTGGGTCAAACTCTAAGGTCAAGGTCAAAAAGTCAAAAATATTTACACCCAAGGAAAGGTCTTGTCAGGATAAATACACATGTGAAATCTGAAAGCCCTAGCACCAACTGTTCAAAAGTTATGGCCAAGGTTAAAGTTGGGTAAATTTTTACAAAAGTGGGTCAAACTCCAAGGTCAAGGTCAAATATGTTGGTACCAAAAGGAAGATCTAGTCGATAAATACACATGTGAACTATGGACGGACGGGGCAAAAACTTATATACCCACGACTCTTCGATTACCAGGGCATTATTATAAAGTGGTTTAAAAGATAATTTCCAGACAAAACATGTCTACAGACAGACAAACAGACATGGTGATTCCAGGACACCCTTACAACTTCTTTGTAGGAGCTAGTATATAATTTCACTGTATTATTTTTATTGTATTTTCATGGGCAAAAAAGTTTTAGCTTTTACCAATAATATATGGCCAAGTGATCTTGACTTTTGAGATAATTCAATGTTTTACTACACCCACATCACTGTTTTCGTTATCCCTAAATGCTCGCCCATTGGAAAATGGTTAGTCTGTACATTTCTGTTAAAACTTGAATTTCCTTAATCTGAGACTTAAACAAAACATGAGTTGTGCTAACTGGCCAAGTTTGCAATGGTTAAAATTGGCATTTAGGTGTGATTCTAGAGAATGTAATACGTACGTCTGGAAAGTGCAAAAGTTTACAACAACAGACAGACAAGTTTTGACAGTAAAAAGCTTACTAAAGCTTCTGGCTTAGATGGAATAATTAAATTAAATATGTTCAGCTTAATGTCAAATTTAAATTGTCGAAAAAAATCATACATGTATTTACTTACATGTACCATTGACAAATCTGTTTGTATGTATCTTCTGAGGATATAGGTACTCTGGTATTTGAAGCTGTGATGACATGCTAACTGCGCCTACAGTGAAAATTAAAAAATATCAGATACTGTCAATTCAATAGCATTTGGTTAATTATCTCCTTAGTACCACTGCATTTTTATGCATTTATTCTATAAATTAGCAGAATATATTTAAGAATTAGATAAGCCGAAATAACCTGAATGCTTATGGTTCTGCTAGTCTGATTCAAATAATTAACAGGAAAAAAAAATCCGGCTTTTCTGCAGCCTTATCCTGATTTTCTGCAATTATATTTTTGCTTTTCTATGTTTGATCTTCTATTATGGCCCCACCCTACCCCCAGGGGACATGGTTTGAACAAATTTGAATATACCTAACCTTACCTGAGGATGCTTCTGAATTTATATGGCTAATCATGGATTTGCAATTCTTTGGAAGAAGATTTTTAATGATTTCTCCTATGTATCTCATTTTAAACTTTGATCACCAATTATGGCCCCTCCCTACCCCTAAGGGGGACATGATTTAAACAACCTTGAATGTAAACTATCAAGGATGCTTCCATATAAATATGTCTAATCACTGCTTAACTGTTCTTGAGAAGAAGATTTTTCACATGTATGCCTAACATAAAAATTTGATCACCCATTTAGGCCCTCCCAACCCCCAGGGGTAATGAATTGAACAAACTTTAATCTATACTACCTGACAATGCTTTCATATAAATATGACCAATCATGGCTTTGCTGTTCTTGAGAAGGAGATTTTTAAAGATTTTTTCTATATATATATTTCTATGGAAAAATTTGTTCATTCATTGTGATTCCCACCCTAGCCCCAGGGGTCATGGTTTGAACAAACTTGAATCTACACTACTTAAGGATGCTTCTTCATAAAAATCTCCAAATCATGGCTTTACTGTTCCTGAAAAGAAGAAAATTTAAAGATTTTTCATGTTAATTCCTATGTAAAACTTTGATCACCCACTGTGGCCCCACCCTATCCCAAGGGATCATGATTTGAACAAACTTGAATCTACATTATGTCAGAAAGCTTTCATATAAGTTTCATCTTTCTGACCCGGTGGTTCTTGAGAAGAAGATTTTTAAATATCCACACCCAATTTTTACTATTTCTTACTTATCTCCCCTTGGAAAGAGGGTATGGCCCTTCATTTCAACAAATTTGAAACCCCTTTACCATAAAGGATACTCTGTATTAAGATTGGTTGAAATTGGCCCAGTGGTGGAGAAGTCA